TCCAATGACATCTGGGGCGACGGAGCATGCAACTGGGTCTTGGCGACCAGAAACTCGTGCCACTTGCACACAGTCGGAGCCCAAGTATCCCGGCGCATGAACTCCCAGCAGACGCCCGCAGCAGCTTCGCCCGGATGCAGGCATCGAGCAACTGACTGCCTCCCTACATTTTCGCAAGACTCGGTCGGCGCGGTTCGGCAGACAAGCCAAATCCGCGGAGTCGCAGAGTCTGGGTCTTCGCCATCAACAAGCATATCAGACACATCCTGACAGGGTTGGACAGCCAGGACATATGCTTCCACGTACTGTTCCAAAAGGGCGTTCCAGTGGACGTTCTTCACGGCGCACAAAAGCCTTCTGCCGGCGTCGCTGATGCCTTGCTCCATTTCAAACAAGACCAGTGCACTAGAAAGAAGCCGCACCTCGCACACAGTAGACGCCCACCGATTCGTTTGTCGTGGTTCGCGCTTTTCGCCGACCAAAGAACTCGGCTCGGCTCGAGAAAGCATTGCTGGCGGGTGACTGGCAACGAACGAGAGCCCGATGCTGCATAGACAAGAAGGAAAATGCAACTAGCCCTTGCAGAAGCAGCACAGCCGCGACCGGGTGCCTCTTCTCTGCGCTCCATCCGCAGCCTTTGCGAAACACAACAAAAGTTCAGTATAGTGAGTGACAGCTGTCGACTTGATATGAGATTTAGCAGGGCAGGCGCTGTGACAACAAATGTAATTGTGCCTGCTCGTTCGTTTTGACCGGAGCGCAACTGGTGCCCGCATCATCGCACTTTCGCAAGACAGCGTCCATGCGGTTTCGCTCGGCATCTGGGATCGGAGCACTGCCGTGCATTCACGAGCCCATGCCCGCACCACTCTTTGACTGATTACGCCTAGCCGCTTCCGCGCGAGCAGCCTCCACGCGCAGGAAAAATGCGGGCTCCACGGAACAGCTGCGTGCCTTCAGCGCTGTCCTCTGTGCCTGAGCCACCATCCGAACGGCTCGCCTACCACGCCCCTCTTCATTGGCTTTGTGTGCTCGCAGCCGCTCGTTAACACCCGCCATCCGAGTCTGAATCTCAGCCTCCGAAGGACAACGACTCGATGCCCGTCCTCCCGCAGAGCTCGCTGGTGAAGATGCTCGGGAACACACAGGATTACCCTGAGACTGAGTCTCGCCAGATCTTCGTGCGAAAGTGACAGGAAGCGAGCTCTCCTTGCCAAAGGCCTGCTGGTCCAGCATCTCGCGACAACGTCTCTCCAACGTGCCCAATCGAGCTTCCCTCTTATCCAAGCCGCCCTTCACCTGCTCTATTTTGGCCACACAGTCCGCGGCAGTCCGCTGCACCTGATCTAGCCATGCCTCGCACTTGGCCACATGCTGCGCGTACAACTTCTTCAAGTCTTGCTCCACGCCCATCATTTGCTCACGTAACACGTCCGTCTGACGAGCTACTTCACTTCGATGGTGTTGCTGCAGTCGAGCCCACCACTGCTGTGCCGTATCGTCCATGGTGCGTCTGACACCTTCGGTTACTCGATCTTCAAGATGCTCCAAAGAGTCCAAACGACTGTCCTGTCGTCGAAAGCCTTCGCGATTCGACTGACGAGTCGCATGAAGGATCGTCTGCAAGACATCCGCCTTCCTTTCCACAGCTTCCAACCGCTGCAGAGCCGTTGAGTCCATGCTTCGGAATATCTTACAGTCTCGCCTGACGCGCCCAGCTTTCGCAAGACAACGTCCACTCAGCGGCGTCACGGCGGCAAACAAACACAACGTAAATCGAGCCCAGCTGAGAAACAACACAGCGAGCGAAATTGAAAACGGCTTAAATGCAGCCCCCCCCCCCCCTCCCCCGGCGAGACCCGAGAAATCCCTTGAAGGGGATGACTACGTGCCTGCCCCTGCCCAAACCCGATCTGTCTTCGTCCAGCCTCATTCCCGACAATCGTCTTCTCGCAGCTCACAAGATCTGCGAGAGGTTTAGGGGGGGCAGTTGACATGGAAGGATAACTAAAGCAGAAGACACAGATGGAATGATATAACAAGGATCACAGGGCATTAGTCCAATCAGCCCTAAGGCGGCATCTGGCAACATTCCGAAGTGGATTCCGCGATCCATGTAGGGTCTTATTCAGAAGTTCGGGAGATATCCTATCCCCTAATTTCACAACCAAACGGCCCGCCTCGCGGAGCCGCGCCGCTGCTCGCCGCGTCTAAACCCCGATACAGGCATCGGGCAGGACTCATCCGACAAAGAAGCACACCCAACAAAAGCAGAAACGCAACACCGACCCTTCTAGCTACGCCAGATGCCGCCGATTAATTATCTGCACCATCACGGGCTCGATGAGCCGACCTGGACATTGACTCGCGACAAGCAATCTCTTCTTGTCGAAATTTCCTCGTCTTCATCCCAGTTCACAGCCTCACATGAGACCGTGTGACCAGTGACCGCATGCGGCCAAGCTGCTCACATAGTGACTTTGCTGGAGGTTCCTGGAACTGGTCGGCACATCGACCGCTTCCTTCACGGCAAGCACCACGGCGGCTTTGACTGCCCGAACGCAGCTATCATCCCAAAGACCAGCCGCCAGCAAACAACAATTGGCAACCGACCTCTTACGTTGCCGTGTGCCTGGTCCTGGACGAACCTTGACTCTGGCTGGATACTTCCGTGATCCGAGCTCTTGTCACGGCCGCTCCACTGATTGCCAATGTCCACAAGCTGCTTGCCACTTTCGAGGACGAGCCCGTGGTTCACGTTCTCTATTGTACACCGAACCGAAGCCTAGAAGATCACAAGAACTGCAGCAAACACACTATACTCAAAGTGGCGCAGCGCTAGCCGTGAATACAAGTGTAAGGTTCGGGGAGTACCCTACCGGGTCGCGCCGAACGACTTCTGTGTTCCACTCGAAGCGCACTCCGAACACGCAACGCCTACGTAGCAGGTGTCGTTAAATCTCCAATCCAAAAGCGAACGCTGAATGCCTGCCAGGAGCAGATCCCGAATCCCGACAGAGACCGCCCGCCCAAAATGATCAAGCAGAATCAATGCAATGCGTCCGAAGCGCAGAAACACCAACTGGATCTCTTCGCGAACAGTGCATAAGAATAACCGACAGGACCACACTCAAAGCCCGCTCCGAACGTTCATAGCAACAGCTATCGGGCGGAGTCAAATATCCATTCCAAGTTCCTCGAAGAAGCCAAACCAAAGGCGAACACTGAATGCCTGCCAGGACCGGATTCCCAATCCCGACAGAAACGACCCACCCAAAATGATCAGGCAGAATCTAGGCAATGAGTGCGAAACGAAGAAGCGCAACCTCGAATCGGCAAGAGCCGAAGGCCCGGATGAAGCCCTCCTGGAACCCTACTTGAAGCCTTTAATATGCCCTGCACGCACAACGAAGCCAAAGTTCATACCTTCCAAGCAACTGCCCCGACCTGCTGGGAAACGCAGATGGCATACCAGACAAACACCTGTGAGTGTGCCGGGAGCAGCTCAGCCAAATGCAATGCGCTTGCTAGCTGCATACGATGCAAACAACGGGGTCTGCAGACTGAAAGTCGAGGCCCTGGATCACTTGCCCAAGACGAAAAAACCAAAGCTTCCGCAGGAACTGTGTCTGCCCGAAATGAACACCGCGAATACAACGAAGCCTCGCCGAAGACTGCAAGCCTCGAAAGTGATTCCACCAAGAAGCGTTTGCCGAAGAGGAGAAAGGACGTCGGACCCTGAAAGCCAGCATGAGACGACCAAAACCCCGAGTATCTAACACCGCGATCTTGCAATGTCAGAGCAGGTAAAACCCGAATCAAAAGTGCAATCCATACAGTAACGATCAGCAAATGAAATCGCAGTCAATGGAGTAGGTCCGTGAAGTCTCATGACGCAATGTCCTTGTTCAATAACGCGTCGGTCCAAAGGCAGTTTGTCAGAACTCATACCAATGTTCCTGATGACACGCAACGCGCCTCGCAATACGTGCGTGCAAGAATAAATGTAAGATCAGTCGACATCGAACAGCCGCAATCGAACAATTACATGAGCACAATGCTCCAAGGAATGCGCGCGAAAATTCATGAACTGTCACTCCAATCATTACAATCTCGGTCCCTCGGCTGGAGATGGTGACGCATGTGCACAATCCGTGGCAGCGCTCCTGGTACATGCCCGTCTCTTAGTAGTTCTTGAACAATTTTCAAGCAGACGTTCAAAGCAGCATAATTCGTCAAAAGTCGTGACAACAGATCGCAACGCACGTGCTCAATGCAAGCTCGCCTTCTTTGCACAGGTAGTGTTATCGCCACCACCGGGCCCAAATCGGCCGATACGTACAACGCAATGTATTAGGATGCACTCTATTACAATGAGTCGTGGAAGCAAGTCGCATATCGGGGGCAGAGGTAAGGAAACTAAGCAGACATCTGCACGTTGCAATTATTCCGTGGCTTACTGGTCCTACAAGAGCTTCGGGACTAGCAGTACCGCTTGCTTTCAATCTCGCATCTTGCGAGTTCTGCCTCCTTCCAGAACGAAACCTGAAGCAAGGACACAAACTGAAGTCCTTACGTCCCTTCCCAAACGCCAGCTGCAAAGAAACCCACAGGGGCGGCTTCGGGATGGGGGTAAGAAGATTCCGAAACTGCCAGCACCACCTCCCGCATCGGCCGTCCCTGCCTCGACGAATCGAGCACTGGCCCAGGGCTCGTCGTGCCCAGGAAAGCCTTTCCAACACAGGTGAATCACGACGAGGAAACCGCGAGAAGTGGTTCACAGCGATTTTGCGTCGCACAACGGCCTCCCTTGAAAATCGACGTGACAGTCCTGAGCCGCACATCCGAAACTGCGGTCGATCCAAGACAGCGAAGTAGCCGCAGCCTCGCACTTTGGCAAGACGGCGTCCATGCGGTGCTGCGGCCATGTCTCGTTCAGACAGGCATCTCCATGCGGATGGCACAGTATCTGGATCCGAGGGCTCAAGCTCGATAGATCGTCACGTGTCGTCCACTGAAATAACGCTGTTTGGCGAGACTCCGGAAGTCCACTGAAGGAGGTGACTACGGGCCTCCGCGACGACGGCCGCCACTTGCTGTTCCAAAAAAGGCAGGAGCCCTTCCAAGAGTTGTTGAGCACGCAGCACGGCATTTGGCGTGTGCTCTGTCTCAGTCGCGTTTCTCTTCGCTTGCAGTGGAACCGTCTCTTCGAAGAGCTGTGCCTGCCCCGCCTGACAAGCTTCCTCGGGCAGACTAGGCTGCCGCGGGTTGGACACCTCCGATGGCTCGGGAAGACATGGAGGCAAAGGCGGCAGCGGCAGTCTCGAGCCCGACTCGGCCACCGACTTCTCGTATTGTGCAACCAACGCCGTGTCTGTGCTGTTGTGCCCAGAACTCGAGGCACGACGCCGCTTGCAACTTTTCCGTCGATCGCCGCTGCAGTGCTCGCCCTCTTGTATCCAGCGCAGCAGTAAGTCCAAATAACCACAGCCTCGATGGACGGCGAGCCGTCCGGCGTGGATGCTCTGAGTAAAATTGCAGAGGGAATCTTCGCAAAGAGCTAAATGAGCATCGTCCATTGCAGCCAGCGCATGGGCGACGCATGCCGCGCTTTCTTCCATCACCGGCGTTATCGAGGGCACGTGCTTCCAGCGGCGCAAAAAAGCTCTGGCTTCTCGCAAAAGCTTGTCCGCGCGACATATCTCGGCGAACAGCACATCCAAGCTCAGTCGCTCGTGATGCTCGACGAGACAGTTCAACACTTCTCGAACTTCCCCCAGAAAGTTGCGCTCATAAACTCCTCCCGGCTCCTGAGAGGCCGTGATAGGATTGCTTTCATGATTCGATGCCAGGCTGCCCTTGAGCTTGTTGTGAAAGAAGCAAGCCCTGTAAACGAGATCGGTAAGCTCTTCGTTTGACTGGACAAGAGACTGTTGCAGCAGAGCAGACAAGGTTCTCTGCAGCAGCTCGACGTTTTGCAATGGCCGGCCTCCTTCGCAAGGAAGCAGCAATGCCCGATCTCCGCCACCCAGAGAAGTCGTCTCGGCAGCCTCCATCGCTGGGAGTTCCACGGCCCAGCAGCACCCCGAGCTTTCGCAAGACAGCGTCCACTCGGCGATGCCGCGGAGACCAGCAAAAGGGAAATGCAAATCGAGCCCAGGCTAGGTAACGAAAACAGCAGAATTGGAAGCAACCTCGGAGCGGAGAACATCGGCAAGCCAACCGACTTCAATGCCACCCCCCCTTCAGAGCGATTCTCTTGCTGAGGACAAGACCGATAGACCTCGCGGTGCGAGTCGAGACAGCCTAAGCAGCAACAGCAGCCATGCCAAGCCCTGCAAACCACGATCTGAATCTGGACCCGGACCCCGATGAGAGCAAAGTTCGGCAAGTGCGTTGTGGCATTTGAAGTGAAAGAAATCATTTTGTTTTGGCACAAGCGCAAGCACCACCGCAAAAGATCAGCGCCTCGGGAATGAATGGCCCCAGCCCCGCACTTTCGCAAGACAGCGTCCATGCGATGCCGCGGCCATCCTACGCGAAGCTCAGCGAGCGTTCCTCCACGGCCGCCACATCCAAGTACTGCCTCGTCCAAGCCGCTGTCTAAGCCACGTGGTGGCCGAAGCCCCGCACTTTCGCAAGACAGCGTCCATGCGGTTCCGCGGCCAGCCTACATCTGCGAGGCAGCGGCAACACTTTCCTGCGCAAACGTTGCTCGATGCAAACGCACGTAGGCACTCAGATAGCGCATGTGCGTAAATGCAAGGGACGTCGCTTGTGCAGCCACGGCTTGGATTTCCTCGTCCGACATCCAAAAACCCCACCACTCCAAGCAATGGCTCCAATGCTCCGTCTTCTTGTGAGGCGAGATGTTATCGTAAGAGCACGCTCTGACCCTCAGGAAAGCAACAAGGCCCCTGGCCACATTGTGCAGCTCGGCCGGCACAAAGCCAAAGTCCTGCTCCTCTGCAGCAGCTGTCGGCTGTACAAAGCACTTCTCCTCGATGAAGTCCTCCAGCTGGAGAACCATGCCATGCTGGGCAAACTTGAACATGCCTCCATCGGTTTTGCTGGATTGCTTTCGCGGCTTCGTTGGAGCATGCCGCTCCCTGCATCCGGCCGGTCGCTGCCCTGTTTCGTTGCAGCGCTCCAGCGGCAGAAGTTGGTGCAGGTTCCGCAGCAATGCCTTCCGCGGATCAAACCAATGCAGAAGACACACGAGCGAGGAAAACAAAACGAACAAAGTAATGTACAGCTTCGAACACTTTCATACTTAGCAAAGCGACCGTCAATGGCTTGTGCCGGTAGCTGGGAATGTCTCGCATCCTCTTGTTCGGTTGCTGGTCGCCATAAGTGATCCCTTCGGCTTCGCGCTCTTCTCGCGTGAGGGGCTTTTCGTCCAGTTTAGTCGTCTTTCGATTGACCCGTCCATGTGTGTCTAGATCATGGATAGGCTTGTTGTAAAAGCCCCTCTGGTCAGCGACGACGGTCACGTCCTTCATCGCCTTCTCCAGGGTTTCCAACGTCAACTTAGGTGCCTCTGCACGCTTTTGAGTCTTGCCAACCACAATCTCGTGCCAGTCCTGCAAAGACTTGGGCCAGCTGTCCCGATTCATTTGATCCCAGTAGACCCGCGCGAGGGAAGCGTTGACATGCATGCACCGACGCACTCTGTGACGCTCCGCATATTTGTCGGTGGGCGTCCATGCGGTACTGCAGACAAGCTCAACCCGAAGAAGCCCGTGCTTGCGCTCGCCCTCCTTAAGCATGTGAGAGACATCCCGTGGTGTCGCCGCCAAAACGTGCGCTTGCACGTGTTGAACCGATTCAATCACCTCGACGTCCTTCTCCTTCACGGTGCACAAGAGCTCTATCGCAGTATCGCCTTCTTCCTTGGGCAGCATCTGGAACATCACCAGTGCACTGCGACCAAGCAACCCCACGCACACGGTGGGTCCCCATGAGCTTAATTCTCGCGATGCATCCATGCGTTGCCTGAGCTCAGCGGCCAGCAAGACACCGCACCTTTGAGTTGCCGAGGTCCGGACATCTTGGCACACTCCGACTCTTCAGTAGGCGGTTCATTCCTGACCGTCGGATATGTTAGCCGTCGACGAGACAGCGCCAGTGCCACGACCCGAGGCCCGCCTCGTGACTCGAGAACCGGACTTCTCGGCAGGCTCCGACTCTTCCCGCGGCGACTCTTTCCACGTCTCCTTCCTGGCCTTCACGCACCTTGGGTCGCGGGCAGGAGCCCCGTTGCACGCCCGTGAAAAGCAAGCACGAGGACGCATGCAGGGTCCTCTGCACAGTTGCTGGCAGGAGCCAACCACTGGCCGCCATCGTCGTGGCCTGAGGTCCGGACTTCTTGGCAGGCTCCGACTCTTCCCGCGGCGACTCTTTCCACGGCTCGTTCCTGGCCTTCACGCACCTTGGGTCGCGGGCGGGAACGCCGTTGCACACACGTGAAAAGCAAGCACGAGGATGCATGCAGGGTCGTCTGCACAGTTGCTGGCGGGAGCCAACCACCGGCCGCCATCGTCGTGACCTGAGGTCCGGACTTCTCGGCAGGCTCCGACTCCTTCGACGGCTCGTTCCTGGCCGTCGGATTTCTTTCGTTGCACACACATGAAAAGCAAGCACGAGGATCCGTGCAGGGTCCTCTGCTGGGTTGCTGGCAGGAACCAAGGACTGGCCGCCATCGTCTCGACTTGAGGTCCGGACTTCTTGGCAGGCTCCGACTCCTTGCACGGCTCGTTCCTGGCCGTCAGATTTCTTTTGCTTGGCCTAAGCTCGGAATCCAACAAGAGAGCCGCCGACCGCCACCGTCGTGACTTGAGGCCCGGACTTCTTCGCAGGCTCGGACTCCCCCGTCGGCTGGCTCCTGGCCGTGAGGTCTTGTGCACTAGCTCCTGTTTCCAGCCACAATCCCCAGAACACCTGTCGGCAAACGAAGATGCGGGAGACGTCGAAATCCTCGCGATCAGGACATACGATCAACCGCAAAGCAACGAGCACGAGCAGCCAGCTCTTTCTGCCGAGAAGCCTGAACATGTGCTCTGCAAATGCACGCATTATCTTTTCGTCGATCCTGCAAACTGCGAGTGCAACACACAGTGACACACACACACACACACACACGCAGACACATTTATGAGTTTCATGTCCAGAGAGAACCTGTCCTCGCCCAATACAGTTGTTGACCCCAAAAATTTTCAGCATGTTGGCCCAAGTACAGGCGACACATGTTCTCGAAAAGCGGCACCAGCCATTGCCGCCACGTTTCATGAGTGCCTCCCTTTCCCAGCAGGTCGACTGTTGCCTTGCAAAAGCGCTGCATGATCTTGTACAGCAGCTGGCCATCTTCGCGGGTCGTTTGTTCACTTCTGTTCTCTAGGGCCGCGACGTCCAAGAACTGCAACCGCTCGTAGTTTCCCTCGTCCATGCCGTAGTTGTCAGGTTTGGCATCCCAGAGGGTCCACCCGTTCTCGAAGAATGTGCCGAACATGACGAGCGCGGATGTCCACAGTTTCAGGTGCTCCTCAAGCAACCGATCCGTCATGGGCAGCTGCCAAAGCTGCAACAGTGCCGTCTCCATAGAAAGCCCAACGCGATCGCAGACCATGATGGCGCCTGCGACCTTCGAGTCCCTGGCCCTGGGATCGTCTTCACTCCCTGCCATACGCCAGTCACGGTCGCCCCACAGGTGCACGCCTCCGTAGTAATGGGGCATGCACGGTCGTACTTTGCCACTCCTCTCGTACGCACCCCTGTACATTTTCAGCTCTTGCAGCGGATCGTTTTTCCCCATCCAGTCATTTTTGTTCATGCCCGCATTGGGCACGATCTTCACCGCCAACTTCCAGGTCTCCAAGCCGTAGACCACCTTGTAAGCTCCGGTACCCAAACGGTAGAGCATGTCCTCGATGAAGATGGCACCGCCGCCGGGCACGCGGAACTCGAGCTTGGCTCTGCCTTTCCGCCATCTGATCATTGGGTTTTTCTTGTTGTACCCGTCCATGTCTGCTTGCAGCTCTGCAGCGAACAAATTGGCATTCGAGGGCAAGGAGCGGGCCGCCATAGCCCAGCGGCACACCGAGCTTTCGCAAGACAGCGTCAACCCGGCGGCACCGCGAAGACTAGCGCCACCACAGAAATCGAGCCCGAGCTACGCAGCAGCCCAGCGGCACACCCAGCTTTTGCAAGACAGCGTCCACTGGGGGTCACCGCGAAGGCCAGCGCGACCACAGGAATCGAGCCCGAGCTACGCGGCACGCACAAATCGAAAAAGCATACAAAGGAATGCATGCAGTCAAATTGAAAGCGCATGGAATGCAACTCTCATCAGAGCGATCGTCTTGCTGAGGACAAGACCGGTAGTTCTCGTGGTGCGAGTCGAAACAGCCTAAGCAGCAGCAGCAGCAGCAGCAGCAATGACAAGTGCAAGGCTTTGCTCGAAGCGGCCCTCCAAGTCACCATCTAAAGCTCGAACCGGCTCTGGCGGGATTTTGACAGAAGCGCCGCCAAGCCCGTCACAACTAGCCGCCTGGGCCATGATGAGTTGGCCGCAGCCCCGCGCTTTCGCAAGACAGCGTCCACACGGTTCCGCGGCCATGCTACATCTGCGTGTCAGCGGCGCTACCTCAGCCCGCACTTTTGCAAGACAGCGTCCGTGCAGCAGAAAAGTGCATCCTACATCTGCGCGGCAGCCAGCTCTTTCTGCCGAGAAGCCTGAACACGTGCCCTGCAAGTGCACGCATGCACGCTTCGTCGATGCTCCTGCAACGTGCGAGTGCAACACACAGTGACACACCCACACGCCACGTATGGTTTAGGCTTCAGACTTCCGGCTTATTAAGGATTTAATGTCCAGCAAGCACCCGTCCTCGACCAAAACAGTTGATCACCCCAAACAGGTGCAGCTTCTGGACCGAAGTACCGTCGACACATGGTTTGGAAAAGCGGCTGCAGCCATGTCTGCCACGTTGGATGAATGTCTCTACTTGTCAGCAACTGGACTGTTGCCCTGCAACAAATCTTCATGATCTTGTACAGC